TACTTCTCTCTATGCTGATTTCTATTTTGCCGCAATAATACCTATCATAGTTAAGCAGTTGGAGAATGCGGTAAAGGTCCTTCTTTACTTTTCATCATATATTATTATTATTATTTACTACTACTATTGAATTTTCTCTAATTCATTTCTCTTTGTCGATAGAAAGATCTTGATGTACAACTGATAATTACTTCTATACTGTGAGCATATAATTCTTTCCTCATTTATAAATCTTTGTTCCCTTTTCACTTATTAAATATTTATTAATTTCTTTTAACCTACTTTTAATAAATCTCTTTTTAATAAAAGTGCGTTTATGTTCGGTCTTCTACTGACAGGTTTCACCCTAGTTCATACCGCTTATGTGTTACAAAACCGTACAACAATTGAATCTCTTTCGTATAGAACTAGAACCTATAATGTGAGAGTTCAATTTGATCCTGAAAACCCGTCAAATTATGGTATTTCCACTACTAGACCTGGTGAAAATTTATGGAATTTGGGTTGGAAACAAAATTGGAAAATGGTCATGGGTGAAAATTGGTGGTTATGGTTTGGTATGTGTATGCTTGTTTATTTATTTATTTATGCTTTATTAATTTTTTATTTATTTATGCTTTATTAATTTTTTTTTTATTATTCTAATTATAATTATTATTACTTTTTTTTTTTTTTTTTTTTACGTGCCCATGAATAGTACCATTTGGTAGTCCGCCAGGCAACGGTCTATCATATCCATTTAATAATGCTTCATATAATAGATTAATTGACGAAGCAAGAACGCATTCTATACCGCAGGGTGACAGTGGTGTGAATGCTATATTACAGCAAGCCCAATCTCAATTGGGTCGTGGTGGTAGGAGGTAATAATATTTTTATTGTCAAAAAAATAATGGTAAAATAATAATATATAGTTGGGTATAAGGATTGTTAATAGCATTAAGGTTATTATCAATTTTGTGGTTATAATATTGCTTGAAATAATTGGCAGTGCATAAAAAAAAAAAAAGAACTTTTATGAATAAATGAAGCATACGTATTGCTTCTTTTCATTAGAAAATAAATTTTTATAAAATAAATTTCAAAGAATTTTTTTTTTTAAATTTTTAATTAAAAAATTATATCGATATTTATGTAAGTGGTTAAAAAAATTTTATTTGTCATAGTTAATGCTGAGAATTGAATTTATTTTGATAAAAATTCTGGGGGTTTTTTTGACGTATTTTTTTTTATGGATTTAGATTAGAATTTAAAATAATATACTCTATATCAACTATTAGTACTTTTATTTTTTAAAAAAAGTATTTAATAGTTACAAAACCAAGGTTTTATTTGTTATTATAAAAATAGTTTACTAGTTTAGTTTTTTTTTTATTTACAGAACAGTAAATTAAAACTATAACAAAGCAAGTTAAAAAAAAATTAAAAAAATTATAAAGTAAAAATAGACAAGCAAAAAGATTTTATAAAGAATAAAAACAAAATAAATGCTAGCAAAAATTTAAAAAATCAAATCAAGTATAATAAAATAAAAGAATTTAACAATAAAATCAGAACAAAGTATAAAAGAATAGAAGCAGATTCACAGAAAACTAATAAAAATAATCAAATACAGTAATATTATATTTATAACAATTAAAAATAAATATAGTATAAGGTATTTTGCTTTAATAAAAACTAAAAAAGCAATAAAGCATTAATAACAGTTTTAATTTTAAAAACCAAAAATAACAAATTAAAAAAAAACGAAAAATAATATAAAATATAATAAAAAATATTATTAAAGTAAAACTAAAATATAATACAAAAAATACAAATAGCTAAAAAATTAAAAATAAAAAAAAAA